CCGTGATTGAAGGAGCGCTCCACCCAATGAGATAATTGCGCAACAGCAAGTAAAATACTGAAAATCTTCTATCCAGTGGGCTAAGGCCGATCCCACCCTCCTTTGGGGTTGGCCTTACCCCCAACCGATAGAAAAGATTCTGGCGGGAAGCTTTCTTTGCACGGGCATGCCCAGTGTTAAGGAGAGGAGGAGGGGAACGAAGATCTAATTTTTTCGGGTAATACAAGTAAAACACTGACCGTGGGATCACGACTACTGCACGGCAGGATTGGGGTCACTCAACTGCCCCACAAACTCGTTTCTATCCTATCCCGCTGCTAGTGGGACCTCGCCCCAGGGGAGTCGTGGGGACCACTGCATTCACCCGCCTCTTGCTAATACAGCGAAGGAAGTGCCTGAATCTGGACGAGCCTTCAAGCCTCGGCGTCGGACTCATAGAGCCCGCGCGAAAGTTTCCGGGAGGGTAGAGCGGCGGGAGGACCCGCCGGCATCTGAATTCGAAATTGCGCGGGCAGCGCCCCTGCACTACGGGAAAGCTCGGGGAAACGTGTCGCTCCCTCGTAACCCACGACCAGCCGTCGCCACGAACACGAGTCCCCCTGGCGACACCAGCGACAATCAAACTGCGGTCGCCACACGGCGTGAGCGGCCGACCAGGGCAACACCGTTAAACCCGTATAAGGCAATATTAGAGTCGGGGAATCAAAGCGATCAATCAACACAAACCCGTTCCCCCTTATCTCACAAGCCCGAGGCGGGTCTTGCCAACACACTTGCTCCGTCCGCCTCAGTGCGTGCCGTACGTCCGCATCGCAGTAGACGCTGTCGTCATCTGTGATGGGAAAGGTCGGTAGCGAAATGAGACGATCGGAGGTACGTGGTGAACACGAGCAAGATCCCGCGTTCCTGGTCATCCGAACCAACACCAAATCCATACAACAAACGTCGCAACTCTTCTCTCTCAAAAGTGGGTGCGTAGGGGGAGGATGACGAAATCTAAGCTTTCTCCCCTTGGCGGGGGCGTCAACCGTCCGCACGGACGCAGGCGGTTGACGTCACCGGTACGGGGACGAGAAGCTCTAAGAGGCGATGACTGTTAGTTCAAGAGGAAGGCGATCGAAAAGGGAGAGAGAGAGAGTTACGCCAAGCCCGCGCGGGAGCGCAGGAAAGGCCGCGGAGGGGAGGGGAACAACTGGATCAACACACTCATACTCCTAAGCAGACGGTCCCCCGGTTCAGTTTCCCCATCCCCCCCCGGACGAGTACATACACACATACATGCATGCAATCAACAACCCTTGTCAGGACATCTAATCATCCATGGACCTTCGACGTCACTCATGCGCATAACCAGCTCCCATTACTTGGGGCTTCAACACACACGACATGCATAAACAAAGCAACAATGGAGATAAAAGCGAGTCCTTCTTGTACATAAAAAATTCGATTAACTGCTGCCCCCAAGCGCAGCCTTCAAAACTTCCCAAGACCACCGACCACCATAGCCACAAGGCCCTGCGTCCAATCCCCACCACTGCTCAGTCCGTCCAACTGCTTCGCCCCGAGACTACCGCGGGGTCCACCCCACGTCGTCACTCCGCCCGTCCTTGGGCTCGTCGAGCCTGTTCGGCGTCGCGGACTCTCGCGCATAGCTCGCGCAGCATTGCGGCCGAGATCAAAGAGAGGGAGAGGAGAGGGTTGCGCAAATTTATAGCGCGGGAGGCGGCGGGTTAACAGCGCGAGGTGCGGGCAGCACAGGGTGTAGATGACAAGACAGGAGAGAGAGGTGGGGAGTTAGAGGGTTCGATCCGCAGGATTGCATGGCTACGTGATTGGGGTGTTCGTCCAAGTGGTGCGCGATTTCCCACTTTCCACATTGATCCGAGCATCCCAACTATGCAGCCAATCACTTCGCGGAGGAAGACGGGGTAAGGATCAAGCTGGGTGTAGGGGAAGATGAAAAGTCCTGCATGGGGAAAACGCGCGCAGCAAGAAGGAAAGATGGCGCGAGGATGAAAAGCAAGAAACGGGGATGCGAGACGCGCGAAAAAAACGGAGCTTGGGCGTGCGCGCAAAAATTCAAAAAGTCCCAACTGCACCCGTTTCTTGGTTTTCATATCGCGGCCTCTAATCGCATGCGGGAGTTATTAACCAAACAAAATGAAAAAGCCGTTTCAAAAAGAAAACAAAAGCAAAAAGAAAGAAAAACCCCTTTCTATCTGCGTCCGTACTTCGGGGCTTCCGCGAGATTTTTCCTCAGGGATACGGCAAACCGCGCGGTACGGATCTGAGCTTATCACATCTGTGATACGCAGGGGGTTCTGAAAAATTAGCAGTCTCCCGACTGCTGATGCCATCATATCATGGATGATTGGGCGGCCTCCTCATCGTCAGCTGGCCCGATCATCTTCCTAATCTACGTGGATGCATCCTGCATCCTCCATCGCCTCCTCGCATAGTATACATTCGATCGGGCGGCCCCTTCATCGTCAGTTGGCCCGATCGGTAAGAAAAAAGATTTTTTTTTTTTTTTTTTTTTTTTTTGGTTATATACAGCGCGTATCGTCGCGCGAGCTTTTAGATCCGGAAAAGAAGAAGAAAAAGAGGAGAAGGAGAAGGAGAGGACAGAGGAAAGGTAGACGAGGGTGATACGAGGAAGTAATCTATGTCGGGATTGAGAGGGGGCGGAATAGGTGGAAGAAAAGCGGCCATTGCCGCAGGAGTCGTCGGCGCATCTTCCTCATGGAAGTGATGCTGGACGAATGAGGGGTAAAGGAAAACCCCCGGCACATGTGAGAGGACACGTGGCGCCAGATTCGCTACCGCTCGCACCACCCTCTTGCGCACCAATCGGGGCCCTGGACCCGTCATCACCACATGAGTCTCGGTGTAAGGCCGCCGCTCCCGCTTCTGCTCTACGAAGACAAGGAAGTGGTACATTGCATTTGAACGCTGCCCGGTCTCGTAGATGAGCGTCCCCGCCAATCGCGCCGCAATACACCCTTGGAAAGGGGGTGTCTGATATGGCTCCCACGCCGGATCAGGGCGCGGCGCCCCCGCGATGGCCTCGAGCTTGATGGTGGCGGGCTCCACCATGAAGTCCACCTCGGTCGGATGGACCGTCCGGCTCGGATGAACTACTAATGTCAATGACCGGGGCACCCCGAGGTGGCTGGCGGGAATGGAGAGGTCCCGCGAGGACGGGGGGTCTGGATATGGGATCCCGGAATCCCATTCGGCTTCCTCCTCTGGCTGCTGCTGATGATGATGGCCCGGCTCCATCAAGATTGAGATCGGGCACATGCGGAATGGGCGGCGATGGCACGATAGTCTCCTTAACGAGCGTCGTCGCGCTCCCAGGCATAGGGTCAGAAATCCGCGTACGCGCGGGCTGAACCGCCTCCTCGCCGCCGCCGATCCTGCTGCTTTGCGCACCTGGCCACGGGTGGCATCTCTTCCTCTTCGGCATCTTCTTGGGGGCCTTCGGTGGCGCTGGTCGAGGATACGACGAGGGAGGACGCAACGACTTTTCCTCCGGGAAGTCCTCCAATCTCTCCGCGCGCTGCGCAATGTAATCTGGGATGACGACCGCGTTGTACGTTCTCCGCGGGGCCGTCGCCGTTCGCAATCGTGGTTGGATCTCCTCCTCCTCGCTCGCGATCACTTGCGCAATGGAGAGGAGCTCAAGATGTATGAGCTCCAACAATCCCGGATCGATTGTCTGGAGCAGGGCGAAGGGGTACAGCGCCACCGTCCCTTCCTTCTCCGCTTGCTTGGGGCGCGCGATGACGTAGTAAACGACGAAGTGCTCCCTGATAGCGTGGTCTTCGTGATCCACGAAGAACCGGAACATCCCCAGCGCCACCGACTTGTACATCGCATGGTGCAACTCCCACGCGTCTTCGTCGGCGAAGGGCAGCGGCTCCACGTCAGTTAGCTCCACCAAATACTCCGAGAACTCACGCATGGGGTAAGGGACCTCTGTGAGCTGGTAGGGGAGGATGGTGTAGGAGAAGAAAGGAGGCATTTAGTACGGGGCAAGGGGAATAGCTTGGAGGTTGAGAGGAGCAGCGGGAGGGAGAAGCGCGGGGAGTTGCGGCACCAACGCAATCGGTCCGTCCTCTGCCCTACGCAGCAGCACTTCGTGGGCTGTGAATCGGTGTCCCCCCCGTCCTTGCACTCTGGCTGCTTCCACCGCGTATGCGCGCACAAGGCTGCGCGCCGGTTCCTGATTCTGCAGCGGTAGGACCGTCAAGTCTTCGATGAAGGAGGCGACGCTGTGCACGAAGTTGGGTGCCACCTGGAGCGCACAGAACTCAATGAATACTCGGGTCGTCTCCCAGCCAGGCAACTGCGTCACGTCCACGTACACTCCCGCATATGTCAGCCGATCGCAAAGCAACGAGTACGCTGCCAAATCAGCAACCCCGGGCGCTGGCACGTTCACCTGTTGGATGTCGTACCACAACTGCCTCTCCTCATTAAACCGATGCCGCAGCAAGCGATCTGCAAGCAACGTCTGGAAGTGCTCGAGGGGCTCATGCTCCGCCTGGCGATGGTTCATCCTGCTCCCTGAAAATCTCCGCACCAATGGACGAGGCAGATCGGGAAGAGGAGGAGGATGAAGAAGGAGAGGGTGATCTCGCAGGAGCAGGGGTCCGTAGGGGACCTAGCGATGGCTGGAAGGGCCGGAGCGCGGCAGCGTGCCGTGTCAGCGGTCGGGCCTGGGAGTTGTGACGGGGAATCAGCTTCACGGAGTGCTGTCCCTGTGCGCCAACTTCCGTGACATCGTAAATGCCTGTGTAGCGTGGGTGGATCTTGGAGGAACGCGCAGATTTCCGTACCTGCACCAAGTCCCCAACTTTATAGCGGGACAGTGGTCCCGCCGACGCGTGTCGATTCTCGTAGTCACAGATCTGCCGTTGATGTGTCCGATCTACGACCTGCTGTCGACGGCGAGCTAACGGGGAATAGGCCCTAGCCATTAAGTCCATGTAGTGGCGGGCCTTGTCTCAATTCAGGGCCCGTGTTGCTCTAACTTCCGTACCTACTAAGGGGGACAATTGCACCCGAGGGACACTATTGGTTCTCAGTTGAAAGGGGGACACCCTAGTACTACCGTGTGGGGTAGCCCGATAAACGGCCAAAATATGATCGACAATGACCGGCCAGGGTCGGGTGTCTCCCGCAGTGATATTTCGTCTAAGGGCCGTCTTAATTATTTGGTTGGCATTCTCTACCAGGCTATTTGCTTGAGGCCAATGCCCCGGTGAGTAGATAATCTTAACGTCCGCCCAGACTAGGTGACGTTCTACTTCGCCTTGAAATTCCGACCCATTGTCCACGTGTACCTCTTCTACGTCTAGATGCATACACAAAAATCGATTTACGTACCAGGCTACTTCCTGCGAATTCCGGCTGGTCATAGGGTACGCCTCAATCCATTTTGAAAAATGATCCACGGCCACTAAAAGAACATTGAGCTCTCCCTGATCGACGGGCCCTCTCGGAACGTTGATATCCGTCGTATCGATGCTAACCCTCTGAAAGGGGCGCTCTACACGAGTGGGAACCATCGTCCGAGGCATCTGTACCAGCGCCTTGTCTGCCGCGCAGGCCGGGCAATTCCGAACGATGTATTTCACATCTTCCTGAATTCCCAACCAGTACCATCCATTCTTTTCGATGGCTTTTTCCGTGTGCTTGACCGTGAAATGGACCGCATCCTCCTCATGAGCAGCTCGTGTCCAATCGAACTTAGCAAGAGGGTGTGGAACCGTCAACCAGCTAGACTCTCCGTCGTCATCGACCTTCCGTTTTTGTAATGTCGGGCCCAGCCAGCGATAGTCCTGCGCCCGCTCCGTGACTCTCCGCCGTTCGGCTTTGGTAAGTTCTGACAACGAGTCGCCTGACAGTGTCCGTAGCAACAAAAGGTTCGTCCAGGCTTCTGCCTGGCGGGCACTTGGCGCAAATCCGTCGGCTGTTCTAGCGTCCAGATACCACTTCTCGGCAGGGACTTGGTCTGTTCTACAGTTGGGACAGACCCACGTCTTTTCACTTCGGTACCTAACGCACTGTCCGTGAGATTTGACYGTATGACACTGACTACACTGTACCCATAAAAGAAAACTGGGCCCTCCCGGATGTGACCCTTCTTGGTCCGGGATCATGGGCAAGGTACAGAAGAAACAGGGACTTAGGTGTGTTTTAGGGGACAAGTTGGGGCTAGACGAGAGAGCGAGGGAGTGGGATGAGGGAAAGAGATAGCGTTGGCCATCTCTGATGAAACCTCCATTCCGGACTCAGGCGTCGTCCTTACGCAGCATGTGTAGCTCCCCGTAGTGCGGTTTCGTCGCCGCAAATTCTGGCCTCCACGGAATGAGTCGCTCGTTGGTGGGACACTTGTTGGGCGGCAGAAGGCGCGTTAATCCATCGACGTTACCATGCTGCCGCGTGGCACGGTGGCGGATGTCGAAGTCATACTCTTGCAGACGCACCGCCCACCTGCCCAGCATCCCCGTGTAGTCCGTGTTGCTGCGTAGGGACAGTAGCGGGTGATGATCCGTTACCAGCACGAATTGCTGGTTGTACAGATACGGTCGGAAGTGCTGAATCCCCCACACCCCTGCTAGGCATTCACCTTTGCACGCTTTGTAATTAGCCTGCGCCTGGCTCGGCGTCTTGGACGCATACTCAATGACATTGTCGGGCGACCGAAAGCCAGTCGGTCGCCCTAATACCGAGAGATTGACCCGTAGAGAAGTTGTCTGAGAGGAAATCGGTCGGGAGTCTTGTCCGACCGGCTGGGAGAAATTAGGGGTAGTCAGGTCACCCCTAAAATTCGGATGTCTCAACCATCGAGACTAACCCTCAAAATTGACGAGAGGGATTTCCACTTCGCTGCCCTGGCAACTACCTTATTGTCTACCACATTTCCGCTTGCTCTACGCCTGTTCCTGAAGCGACTGGCTGCGGGACGGTTAATTGAGGATAAGCCTTGACGAGACCCTTTTACGGTGTCCAACGGACACGAGGACGTGGCCCCGCATTTAGTTAAATTTAATATTAAAATTAAAAATGGATAAAAGAATTAAAAACAAAAGAAAATAGGAGAAAAACAAAATATTCATTGACTTATTTAAAATTTTTGATATTTAATTTTTAACGTGATCGACTTCAATTATTGATGTTTTTGACAATAAAAATTTAAAACACGGAAAACGATCAAAAGCAATAAAAGAGAAAAAAAAACAAAGAATTTTCTCTATTTAATTGGATTTTGTCGGGATTTATTTTCGACAAGATTACCCGTATTTTGTTATTTTCAATAATCGAATTAAGAAATAAGAGAAAGAAATAAAAATAATAAGAAGGAAGAAAAACCATGATTAATAGCAGATTGGCTTAATTTTACTACATTTATCCGTGATCGGAATAACCCCCCGATCATCCATTTACTATAATTCTGATGATTTCCGCGATATTGCGATGATAGGGATTTGTACGCATGGCTTACTTGATTTTCCTGGTTTCTAACTTTAGCGTAACCTGTGTGCTATGAGTGCGGGATTTACGGACGCGGGGCGTTGCCGCTATATTGCTTAATTGTGCCCCATGACCCTTTTGCGTCGGGGTGATCACCGCTTCAGTTCGACACGTATGGCTCGGGACAGGTTCAGAACTATCACCGCCGGGCAGCACGAGTTCAGCTTCGGCGTGCTTCAGGTTCGGGCACATCGGGGTGTTTTATTATCAGGTTCGGAACTACTACACCGGAATGTTTCATCAGGGTTGGGGACGACCTCGATAACTCATTTTCAGGTTCGGAACCACCATGGCAATCTATCTCAGCTTCGATGCGGCTACGATAGTTTATTTTATGGTTCGGAGCCTTCTTCAAGTTGGCAAACTATTGTCGTTTTCAGTACGGCTGCCATCTTCAGACTAGTACTACCTTGACGTCGGCTTGGGTTGAGTTTCAGTATAAAGGCACGACGCTCAGGTTCGGGCCAGGCTCGAAATTTTCGCTGCACTACGACACTTGACGATATTCGACGTGTTGCGGGCTTGATATTGGTTCGGGGTTGGCTTGGTACCGATGGTTTCGGCGATGGTACTTTCAAATGCGGCTCTCCAATCTGGTTTGAGGCTGTTGCAGTTCGAACTGGGAACTTTCCGCCCCGGAATTTGTACGGGACATACGCGGTGTTGGAACGGTACTTGTTTTATTGTACGGTGTCCCTCATTGAACTGGTGCGATTGATGGCTTAGAGCAGCCACGGTATCCGGAACACCGGGCCTGTTAATGTCGATCCTGGGCCCTAGCGCGGGTGGCCTGCGATACTGTTTGTTCCTGGTACTGTCCGGGGGTTGCTGCTGACACAGTAGTGGGCATCGGGTATCGTTTCCGGGTACTGCTGTTGTGTTTTCGGCTGGTACCTTTGGCCAGGCGCGAAGTACTTGTACCGCAAGTAAATCCCGCAATGCCATTGGTACCAGGTTTACGGGCCTGTGGGCCTACGTTTTCTCGGGTGCCTTTGATCTACTGAGGGCCATGTCCAGAGTAGCTACCGCTTTCCCGAAGCACTGGTACCGCTAGTAAATCCCGAAATGCCGTTGGTACCAGGTTTACAGGCCTATGGGCCTGCGTTTTTCTCAGGTGCTTCTGGTCCACTGAAGACCAAGCCCACTGTAGCTACCGCTTATATGGGAGACCCGTTGACATGGGCAGGGATTCGAACGGGGGTGACTCTGGGAAAGCTTTCCAGGTGTACTTCGCCCACGTTGTAGCCCGGTTCAGAACAGCGAGGGGGGAATGCTCAATCTGGGAACGAATGCGCGGGTTCTGGGAGGACAAAGGAGGAGAGACGAGCGTGCGTTCAAGAGAGGTGTGCGTGTTGGCCGTAGAGACGTAGTGGAAAGGGGCGAGCTAGGTGTGCACAACCCACATTGGTGGATGCGCTCAGTCAATAAGGAGAGGGGTTGATCCGGGAAGAGGGAGTCACTAGAGATGCTGCGGAGAGCATGAGTATGGTCGCTCACCCGAGGGCATCCGTTGGTGCTATAGCGAAGGGGGATTTCGTGTA